ATTTGCACGAGCTCACCAAAATTGGACAGTTGAAGACTGGAAAAATGTTGCCTGGTCTGATGAGTCCTGGATGTGCATCCCACAAATCTCCATCAACTGCAAGATGCTATCCTATCAATATGGGCCAACATTTCTAAAGAATGCTTTCAGCACCTTGTTGAATCAATGCCACGTAGAATTAAGGCAATTCTGAAGGCGAAAGGGGGTCAAACACCGTATTAGTATGGTGTTCCTAATAATCCTTTAGGTGAGTGTACATGACCACACACACACACACACACACACACACACAGCTGGAAAAAAACACTGTGCTGCAGGATAGACCCGTCCCCCCTTGCCGAAGTTCTTTCATGGACACTCGAAGACACCAGAAGTTTGTATCACACTCTCTTTATTGAACTATTTATTCACCCAGCAGTGCAGATCAGACCCAAGATGCCCACAGTCTCCCAGCATCCTTCACTTTGGTGGAAGCACAGCCTCAAAGACAAAACACAGTCATTTAACAACGGACAGACGGCCTTCCCTCCACACTGAGCGCACAGGCAATGATAGTGCAGCCACAGTCCGGGCAGACAGCGGCATTACACACTCGGCGTCTCAGGTGTTAACATGCCGGGCTCACGGGACTTGTTAAGGTGGGTGATGGGCGGTGCCACATGGGGGGCAGTGCAAATAAAGACAGGATCCATGGCCTCAAACACACACATCCGCTTAAAATGATAGGGACGTGACACTGGTGGGAGCAGGCGGCAGAGAAAAGCAGGCTGACATAGAACAGGCCAGGAGGTGGCGCCGGTGAGCAGAGCCAGCAAACGAGCCCTCAGGTGGTTTTCCAGGGCTGCTAGGAGATTCACGTTATCTAAAGTGCCATTCATTCTCTGCGTAATGTGATTGAGAGCTCCTGGGAGAGCTGCTCCTGCAGCCCAAGGGGCTCCGTGTCTCTGGTTTTCATCACACCGCCAGGGGTCCCAGCAGCTGGTGGCAGGACGTGCCCCCCCACTACCATCTGCCCACCCCCACCCCGTGATACAGGTCTAAATGTCACATGTGTGAAGAGGTGCAGCCCTACTGACACGGTCACTGCAGCACATGTGTTCACGTACACAGCTACCATTCTGTGCAGATACTGCCAGGGCCTTCTGCATTGGGGGAGGGGGGGGGGGTCATGGATGGAGGAGCAGGTGGGTGCTGAGCAGCTGGGGTCTGACAGAAGGTCTGTCGGTGCTGTAGGATGTGGCAGGCTTGGGAGACATACTGACCTCTCAAATACCCGTCCAAGGACATAAACCCTACTCAGCTCAGGCCATCCAGCTGTGGGGCCTCCCCACCCCTGAGCACGGCCACAGCAGAAAACACAAGAAGCAGAGGAGATGCGCCCATTTGGGGGTCAGAGCGTGAAGGGAAGAGGAGGAGAGGAGACAGACAAACAGCAAGGCTCAGCTTGGGGTGGAAGGACTCTGTGTACTTCTGTGCAGCATCACAAACAGCCTCTCAACAGGAAGGCAAGGCCGCCATTTTCCCTTTGAAACATGCTTACAACACGCCTACGGCAAGGGATCAGTGCAGTCCGTTTACAGATCAAACCTAAATCAGAGTCGCCGTCTTGCCGGGACAACAGAAGCAAAAAACAACACTAAAAAAATAACCCACTACACCCGCTCAGATGATTAAAAAGAGAAAAAAAAAAGAAAATTAAATATAGGGAGGGGGCGTCAGGTGTCTGCGGCCTGCTCTGCCTCGCGGGGCGGAGTGGTGGCTGAGAGGATGGCCTCAAAGCCAGCTGCTTGACCCCAAGACAGACGGACAGGCAGAGACAGACAGATGCGCCCCCATCCAGCAAAACCACGCACCAGAAACAAAAGAGGCCTTGTGCTCCATGCAGTGGGCGGAGACACCTGATTTCAGCCAATCAGAGTGTGAAAACAGGCACCCGCAGAGCAGCCCAGCCCAGCTGGAACACAAGGTACATTCTGCAGTACCGCAACAGTAAAAACCTCTTAAAAACCCAAACCGCCCTCTCGTTCACTCACACACACACACACACACACATACATACACACATACATACACACACACACACAAACACACATACAAAGGAAGAAAAACAGCACGAGTGGCCAGAGTGCAACCAGGCAGAAGAAGCAGGCACAGCCCCTAAACCACACCTCCACCACGCCCCGGCCACACCAATAGGGTGGGTGGATGGGGTCTACTTCTTCCACACAGTGTAGAACACCCATCTGAAGGGTTAGGGTTAAGAAAAGCCAGGGCTTGTACATGGGCACAGTTATGGTACAGTTACGGGTACGGTTACAGGTATTGGTACAGTTACAGGTACCAGTATATTTATAAGCAGCGGTAAAGGTTTGGGTTATGCATATGAGTGGGGTAGTTACAGGTAGGCAGTGGTACGAGTATGGATTTGGGTAAGAATAGGAGTACGAGTACAGTTACTGCTATGGGTAGTTATGGGTGCAGTTGAAGGTATTGCACAGAGCTCTGTTTTTGTCTGTTTCTCGGACGTCATCCAGGGTAAAGTGGATATTCGGAGTTTCTGAGACAGCTCTGAACCCGCCCCAACAGAGCCAGATGCAGGCTGTCATTACTCACACACCCCCACCCCCACCCCCCAGAATGGCCTGTTCAGGGGGGTAATTACAAGTAATTACAGTGACGTGTCTGCGAAGGATACAGCTCCATGTAGGAGGGGACGCACACCACCTCTTTGGAGAAGCTCACAGGGCAGGACAGCCGTCCCAGCAGCCCCTCGTACTCCTGCAGGGAGTCTGTCAGGTTTGCGCAGTTCCCCTGCAAGGGCAATACTCCGGGTCAGAACCACACACTCGGGGGTCAAGATCGCATACTAAGGGGTCTCTCTCACCTGTGTGAAGTATTTCCCATCAGGCCGCAGCACTTTGATTGACAGGTCGAGGATCAGACGCAGGAACTCCCACGTTGAATCTGTCACACAGAAGAGACGCTCGAGGAAAGACCATGAAGAGAACAAAAAACAACAGACAGCACAGAGTAGTAAAGCAATTCATGCATATATACTGTATGTCAGTATACAGGAAGGTTGCAGTGTGAATAAGTGAGGAAACACTGCCCCCTAGTGGCTAGCCCTGGCTTTACCTTCCTCCGGCGCTGTGGAAATGGGCACCGCTGTCAGGTCGTTAATTACGTAATCAAACATCTTTCCTTCTTCTGCGAATTTCTTCAGGACAGGAACACAGTCCTCCACCAGCACCTGGAGAGGGAAGCGGTCAGACAGCAGGTCCCTCCACCACTGCCTAACTGTAAGCATGACCATACACCAGTACCTGGTAAAAGTCTCCCTGGAGGCTGTCCAGCACATCTCCGCACGTTTTCCTCATGTGTTTCCGGCAGCCATCGATCACCAGCTGGTCGATGTGAAACTCAGTCAAGGAAAACAGCCCTGGGGGTGGTGACATGGGGAAGGAGAGCTGCGCGACCAAAGGATATCTCCACCATGGTGACCATCTTGGGCTTGAGCTTGACAGCCTCATGCAGGATCCCTCCATCGCCTCCTCCGAGCACCAACACCTCCTTCCCAGCATACTGCTCTCGGCCCCCACCCATGATGGCCTGCGTGTATGCCAAGTCACTGTCGGCCATGTCTGTGGGGGTCACCAGAGAGCACTCTGTGAAAATGTGTGGTGTAGTACCACTAACTGACCACAGAGGGCACTGCAGCAAAGACTCCCACTCAAGCTGTCGGTGGCCATGATCACCCCACCCTACATGCTACCTGACCTCGGGCACACCAGCAAATGTGTAAGTATAGGTGTGACGCTGGCATGTGCCCAACCCCGAGCTCCCACTGGTGGGTTTTGTGCTATGCTCAGAGAAATGCTTTTACTGTCACATTGATTTGTTTGCACACGTTTGTGCACATTCCGTGGAAAGAAGTAACTCACTGACGTCGCCGTTGAGGATGAGGATGTTCCCAAACTGGCTTGAATGCAGGATCTTGATGTTCTGGTAGTCGGAATCCTGTTCATAGACGACCTCGTCAATGTCGTACTCCACGAGGCGCCCGTCTGCTGTGGGCCAGTAGCGGTCCACGTCTGCGCCTCGCCGTAGCGCCGGCAGTCTGGGGTCATGGTGGGGAGACCAAGCACGTCAGTATGGATACAGTGCTACAGCCGCACAGAGCAGATGCTACAGCCTAAGCACACCAACAGCAGCTACAGACACACAGGTTTTTAACCAGAAACCTATACATCGCATGGCATGAAACACAACCCTAATTGGTCTGAATGGAATGCTCTGTGAAGTATGCCTCATGCTGATTGGTGGAGCTTTGAGCGCATGGATGCTCTTCGTACCCCCCCCCCCTTACCTCTTCATCCTACTGATGGTGCCATGCAGAAGGGTCTTCAGCTTAGCCTCCAGCGAGTCAAGCAGCTGAGACGGGAGATGGGGGAACATGTGAGATTGGAGAGAAAAGCAGGGGGAACAGTGCACCTCCTCCCTTCTTGCCGCTCCTTCTGATCGGAGAGGAGAGGGAGACAGCTCGCCTCTTCTTCAATGACCCAAAATTTCCCAACACACCGTAACCAAATCCCTCACATCCTACCCATAGCACCATGTCTTGTCTCCCTTCCGGCACATTCCTCCCACGCCTCCCTCACAGACAACCCCCTGAAAGCCACACCTACATGATCCACGTGTGCAAGATCGTCTCCTTCACTGCATTGCAGGTCAATGGTCACCAGCCCTTGGGAAAGGACGCGGAGGATGAGGAATCTGAGGGCACAGAGGAAAGCAGCATCAGCCTACCAGTGTACCGTGTGGTCGCCTGATCCCGTCGCTCACCCTCCCCTGGCTCCTCCCCCATCCCAGATGTCACATGATACTGTGGAAGTGAACCTGACTCGTACAGACACAGCCGGCCTGGCTACCTGCCAGTCTCAGCCGGAACAGCCACAGACAGCCAATAAAATTACAAGGAATGTGGAAGCATCCACATGACTCAAGGCAAACAGTGGCAATCTGGATGTGTCGTGTTTGTGTAGCTGTGGCAACAAATGCTGAGGTGCCCTGAGTCCAGGCATGGCGAGTATGATGAAAGGGACGAGGGTGAGGATGAAAGGGACGAGGGTGAGGATGATGGGGAAGAGGGTCGCTTACCTGCCATTCTTTCCGATGAAGGTCGCCAGGTATCCATGGCCTTCTGTGTTATGAACTGTCTCTGTCATCTCCTGCTCTTGGAAAATGGTCTGAAGTCCACGCACAATGGAGGGAGAGTCGGCTGAAGGGGGGGGGGGGGGGGTTCACAGGAGATCATCAGAATGCACCTGTGACAGCAAGGTAGCTCAAACACATATGGGAAGGTCAAATCATTGACGTGGGCCAGGATATGAGCTGCCATCTGACACCATTTCACACACAGGAGGAGCAGCCAAGGAAAATCAGCCAGGAGTATACCCACCACATCCCCCATCGCTTTCCCACCACACCCCCATTGCACTTCCATCCCTTTTAAATCTGCTTTACTTCCCCCAGGATTTAAACCTCATCCTATCACCTGACGGTCACACTGCGGCTTCAAAAATCAAACACCAGCAAGAGTGAAGCACAAGACCGTGAATAAACTTAATAACATGAAGGCTACGTATGCCAAAACACCACTCCATCACAGCTTAAAAGATTTGCTTAATTGTGTCACTTAATAGCTGGAAGGTCATTTAACACAAAACATCAGTTAATAAATTCAGTTAATAAAATTACTTAATAATGTTGATTAATAACGGGAAGGTCATTTAACCCGAAACTTTACTTCATCACATAGCTTAATATATTTGCTTAATAACATCACTTATTAACGGGAAGGTAATTTAACCTGAAACTTCACTTCATCACATAGCTTAATATATTTTCTTAATAACATGACTTAATAACGGAAAGGTCATTTAACGTGAAACTTGTCTTCGGTTAATAAAGTCAATTAATACTGTCACTTCATAGCAGAAAGGTCAATTAACCCTCATAACGTAACTCCTGCTCACCCGAAGGTGTATGACAGAGCTACACTAAGACGCACAGACACACGCAGCAGTGTGTCCACCTTGTCAGTGACACACACACTCACAGGAGGTTTATTTTCCCCCACGTTGCTGAGATAGAAATGTTCACATTCTGGCTGTCAGCAAACCACAAAACATCATGTTTTATTCTTTCAGATAAGCTGTAGCCCCACAATGAGCTTCACTTTGGCACCTTGATGGTGGTGAGCCCAGAGGAGTAGCTCTGAAGGGCGCCATGGCCACAGCCGAGATCCGCATCTTTACGCGTAACACAACATCATTCAGAAATGGTTTGGTTCCCGATTACAGGGTGTCGATTGGTCAAGATCACCAAAACGATAAGTACGGAAGTTTACGGCATCAAACGGCGGTGGAAAATTCCAGAAACGGTCTACAGAGGCCACGGGATTTTTATGCATTTCATTCACCAGTGAGATAAATAATGAAATGTATCATTTGATATCATGTAAATTAATTGATTCAAAAACTTTAAATGACTACGACAATATACAATTATGATTAAGTTCGTTTTCATTGCTGGAGTCATAAAATAAAACCACCCATAGCGATAATGCACTATCCACACGAACAGGAGTTTAGTAATTATTCATCACCATGAGATACGGGCGTAGGGTTAGGGACTTATGTCATGCGTCTTTTGAATAGGCGTCTTTGTGGACGAAGACCAATTCGCTTTTCAACGTGTGCTTTCCCGGACAGTGAGCGTGTAGCTCAGATTTATGTCTGGCGAAAAGCTGGCGTATCCATGCGCATCCGACCGCGCATGTGCAAGATAATCGATTAGTAAGTGGCAATAGTTGTTTCTTTCAAAGATCAGCCGTCAATGACGAAAGAGTAGGGGAAGAATGATTGTTGTTGTAGTTGTGGTGTGCAGCTGTATGGGGAGGGTCGGAGGTAACTTCACATCTGATTTCTCATACAGTCATGACATTATAGGCTATCGAGGTTTTCGGTATTTTAAAAAGCAGCACTGATCCGACATTTCGAAATCTTGGCAATAAAATTCGCCGATTGAGGGGAGGGGGGGTCCGGCTGATTTTGTCGTCAGAATTTCAGAATACCGAGGTATGCCTTAGCCTTCAGTAATAACTTAAAAACTGTTCACATAAATTTGCCAGTTTCACTACACTGGTTGTTTTCGTGTGTGTTGCAATACATCTGCCCTCTGCGGGTCTGGTGGAATATCACTGCTCTATGCATGCACCGACCATCCAGATTTGCAGCCAAATGTAGTATGAAAACAAAACTATCGTGCCGACGACTGTTGCGGTAATAGAAGTAGCGGAAAAGTGAAGGATGAACTAGGCTTAAGGAAATGCAAGCCCCAAGTCATGTTTACAAGCACGCGAAACACACAGCATACGCGAATGGACACAGTTTTGAAATTAAATCAGGTGCGTTGCTGTCCCTGACAGACAGCAAGCTCCCTCAGTGACACACACAGCGATTAATGATCCCTGCGGACCAGCTATACATCACTCGGCACAAACAGCCGCAGGTCCCAGCGGTGCGAGCCCGGTGGCTGCCGGGAAGGAGATCAGATCAGCTCCCACCCCCCAGCCACTGCGGCATTGCTTTCATATGAGGTTTACACACGGCTGCAGAGATGGGGCAACACTGCGGTCGCTGCAATCGGACGAACGTTAAACAGGCACTTGGGCAGCGGAAGGGGGGTGCGTCAGTCCGCTTCCCCCGCGAGGCTGCAGTGGCACAAAGTGAAAGCGACCCCGCACTGCAGACGCTTTAGACATGCTTTATGTGCGACACACACCCGCACGCAGACGAGGACCGGGGATTAGAGCACGCCACTCCGCGGGGAAAGGCCGTCTGCGCACCCCGAGTGACCCATCCGGGGAGGAAGGGACCCGGTACTGTAGTAGCTCGCTGTCCCTTTACTTTTGCCCGGCGCGGTGAGGTGCCCAGTTACACCGGTTAATGGAGCCCCGGCGTGGGCATGATACAGCAGCCCGGCTGCCTGTAGCCAACGCAATGTTTCCCGGCTGGACAGAGATACAGGAAGGTCACGACGGAAAGAGACAGCAGAATCGCGGCTACCTATCGAGGCGAGACGGCCGGTGGTCAGACAGGCCTGCCACCACTCCGGACGCCGGCCGTGCGCAAAGACACAAAGGATCCGCCGCCGTGGAGATTTGGGGAGGCGAGCCGCTTACCTGGCGCAGAGAGACGCACGTCCAGGGTGTAGTGTCGCAGGGCCATGATGAGCGCAACCTTTCGCCATGCCTGGCGCGAACCACCGTCTGAAACTGTGAGCCTGCGGGTGACACTGCAGCGACACCGGAGGTGCGATCGCGGATTCAGGGCGGGCGGGGCCAGGGGCGGGGCCAGCACGGCGCGCCCCCGCGGCAATGGGCTCTGCGGCGCGCAGGCCGCTGCTGAACCTATTTCAAGTTTCTGTTATTCCCTCTTTTGTATGAAATGTACACGCCGACAGACATGTTTCGACGCGTTTTTATTTAACAGATTACACAAATTGCTGGTAAACAAACTGACAGGGAAGGGCAATGAAAGCTGCCTTTGTGAAAGCTTCCTGTTTTTGCCTAAACCGAACTGAAAGACCGCTCCAGGTCTCACAAACACTGACACGCACAATGACAGCCTGTAGCCCCCCAGTTCAGGCATCTGTCTGATGATGATGGCTTTCCTCTTCCTTTCCGCAGTAAGAAAAGGGAACTTGTGCTATTACCACATTACGAAACGTTTAACCATTTAAACCAACAGGTATCAATAACATACAAAAAATTCAGTAAAAAAAGGGACATTTATAAAGACAGTAACTTTGTGGGATGCTCCAGGAGGGTACAGCCCATCCTGGTGGCCCCCAGCTGTGGCTTAGTCCAGGTTAGGACCCCGTTTGTCTGCAGTGCCTGATGCAGCCCCAGAGAAGGCTGTAGGACACGGAGGCCCACTAGAGGGCCATCTGAGGCAGGAAGGAAGAGTCTGAGCAGTTCAGTTAATGTAATGCAAAGTAAAGTGATGAGGGAAATGGATGGAAACAGGTGAAATTCCGGAAAGCAGACAGAAGAGTCCACTTTCCGGTCCCTGCTAGTGGGGGGAGGAGGCTGTGAGCGGCTGTGTACGTCTGTAAAATGGCCTCACTCAAGGGCCACATGTCAGACCCCATAAAAACACTGTACAGCCAGTCACCATTAAACAGCCCGAACCACAGGTGGGTCTGATCCAGGAGATCCAGTATGAGCCACAACAGGGGGGCATGTCAGGAGTGGGCAGCCCCCACAAAAGCCGGGCATTGTGGGAAATGCCATCCCCCTCTGGCAGCGAGGTGAGGCCTAGCGCGCCGTCACCATCCACAGGCCCAGGGCGACGTTGGCGGCCAGCAGGGCACTGCCCCCCAGCAGGATGCAGAAGGCCAGCAGTTCACGGCTGCTTCTCTCCACCAGCACGGAGCTCAGTGCTGCCTCCAGGAACGCTGTCAGCATCCACTGGCCATCCAGTGCGAAGCATGGCACCGCATTCACCACGGCCAGCGCCCCCGACAAGGACACCACGTATCTGCAGGTGCGGTGTGTCAAGGTTCTGTGGGTCGGGTTTGAGGAGACCCAGAGGAAGCTACCCCCCCACATACACATGCATGCATATATACAGAGAAACACACACACAGCTCATCGCCCACATGCACAGAGTGCATATACAGAGTGCCCCACCACCCCAAACACACCAAAGCTGTGCACCATCCAGAAGTGATTTGAGAATGGCCCTGAAACTGCAGATCCAATTTGTGAATTTGAACTGGGATTGAAACAATTACAATTCATATTTGAATTTAAGTAGAATTAATATGGATTACACATAAACGTCAGCATACACAGCATTCATTGCTATAAAAATGTCATGTTATTCAAATGAAAGAATGCAACATTTATTATTCAATACAATAAATAATTTAACTGCCACGGTGGATCTTCTCATAGTGAAAGTTTAGCGTCCAACTAAAGAAATGCCACAAACACTTTTTTTAGATTGAAAGTCAAACTATTCCTTCACCTGACACCAAAGCTTCACGTGATGTCACTCCACACCCAAGTTAACCATGCCTAACAGAGGGTGTCAGCCCTTTGGCCTACTGGAAAGGAAACCAAAGTAGCATTCCTGAGGTAGCACAACCTGCCTGCCAATATCTTGCAATACCAGCTTTCTTTGTATCCACTGAGAGAATCTTCTGTGAAGCAGTAAAAAAATTCAGGCAAGAATGCTGCAATCTAAATCACAAGGCCTTTGATGGTCTTTTGCTGACTGAATGTAACAATACTGAACAATGAGTTGTGTATTGGAATAAAACACAACTGAATTTGCCATGATGTTTTGCTTTGTGCTACAGCAATACAGTTGGACTGGAAGACAAAACGTATTGTTTTACAATTGAAGGGAGTAACAAGTTGATTTTTTTCTAATAATGAAATAAATATGTATGTGTGCTACTCCTATGTAAAACACTGACCTGTTACTTGGTGCCTCCATGAGACAAGGACCTAATCAGTGTAAAAAAAAAAAAGTGTTCTCTAAGCCTCGAAAAAGGCAAATAGGGGGAGGGGTAGTGTTTTTACTTTATTGGCACCATCTGCCTTCAAAAAAAAAAAAAACTACACTACTCTCACTATTTTAATTCAGTAATTTCATAAAGTGCTTTTCTGAGCTTTCAAATGTGTTATAGTCAAGAAGCTGTAATAGTATAAAAGAAAGCATCATTTTTTTGGCTACTTGCATGTTGAAAAGGTGCTATATTTCAAAGAGAATTAAAAAAATAAAGTACATTTATGATCTCTGGAAAGTATGTGTAATTCACGTGCCAAGTTTAATCAAAATCGAAAATGGTGATGCAAAAACTTTTTTGTAAATTCATTGAATTAAAATAGAATGACCCAACCAATACACAAAAAGCTCAATATGCAAAAACACTTAACCTGCAGGTGGAAAGACTGAGAGGGCCAACATAAACCAGATGTAAATTATAATTATAAGGTAATACAATTTTTTCTCTTATAGTTACACAAATAAAAACTTCACTTACTCATACCATACATATGCAAGCTACTATGTAGAAAGTTTGCTCAGCGATTCCTGAGCCCCCCCCCCCCCCAGCATGTAGAAAGGATACTTGCAAAACATCTCGATGACACTAGGCAGGTCCAGGTGGAGGAATCCAAACCGGGGGGCGAAATTGGACAGACTGACTGGGTGGGGGGACAAAGAATGGAGGGTGAGAAATGCCCATGTAAAGGGGTGGAGGCGTCCGGCGAGAGCCTACCTGCATACTGCAGGTGTGGTGTGTAGCCCACGAACAGCATGTCTGACTGAGGTGGGTGCCGGACCCGCACCAGCCGAGTCTGGTTCTCCAGGGACGGCACAACACAGAGACTCGGCCCCAAGTCTGCCTGGCAATCGACATCACTCTGGCAGGTGCGGGACACCGCAACAGTCTTACGGGCCGGCAGGCAGGCGTACTGCAACGGAGCAGGGAGAGCCGTCAGTGCATGGGCATCTGCACCCCGAGTGGACAGGAAGGGCCATGAGTGCATGGGCGTCTGCACCCCGAGTGGACAGGGAGGGCCATGAGTGCATGGGCGTCTGCACCCCGAGTGCGCAGGGAGAGCCATGAGTGCATGGGTCGTCTGCACCCCGAGTGCGCAGGGAGAGCCATGAGTGCATGGGCGTCTGCACCCCGAGTGCGCAGGGAGAGCCATGAGTGCATGGGTCGTCTGCACCCCGAGTGCGCAGGGAGAGCCATGAGTGCATGGGCGTCTGCACCCCGAGTGCGCAGGGAGAGCCATGAGTGTGTCTTTGCCCCAAGTGTGCGGGGAGACCCATAAGAATGACGTCAGCTGCAAGCGGGAGCTGGCATGGCCTGTGCAAGCATCGTCAGGGAAGCTGTGCTTAATCAGGCTGTATCTGTGACCTTTACTCAACAAACATGCTCAAGTTAACTGATCAAAAGTCTGATGGGAATCTGTGACATTTTCCATGACATCACCTTTTGTTTACTAAACAATAAAACCTCTCCAACCTCGCAGAGCTGTGCGACTGAGCAGCTAACACTGCAAGGCGGTAAAACATTGTATTGGTCACACAGTGCTCCCCAGGCTGATCACACCCATGCCTGTAGGGAGAGCTGCCCAGCGCCACCATGCACCACCCTGCAGCCCTGTACTGACAGGGCTGACTATGAGACAGGAAGAGGGGACAGAAAGTGGCAGGAGGCGGACCAGCAGCACGGCTGGGACTGTCACTGCACCCACCATTTTGCTCTGTAGGTGGCTGCTGTAGGAGAAGCAGAGGTCTGTGAGCGTGCTGTTACTGCAGCACTCCATGGTGCCATCCAAGCGGCGGTATGCTGGGGGGAGGGCACAGGGGAGAGAAAGGCAGTGAGAGCTCAGCTGTGTCTCGGCTTCTTACTAAATTAGGACCAAAATTTAATTACTTCTGGTTCCCACTTGCCCCCCAATTTCTCACCCTCCAAACCCCCCTTTACCCCAGTCCCCCCTCAATTTCTCCCCAACTCTGCTTCCCCCACAACCCCTTTTAGCCTGATGCTTCCTCCCATTCCCCCTGGCTTTGCTTCTGGACTGCTACCTCGGCCAGTGGCCCAGCTTGGGTGCAGACTCGCCATCTGGACGCAGTAGCCGGTTTGAGCCATGGCGGAGATGCGGTGGATACAGGAGTGCCAGTGCTCTACACTGGACACGGGACAGTCCTCCAGGTTGGTCACCAGGTCACCCACGAAGAGGCCTCGTGGGCCACTGGCTGGGGACCCCTAGGGGGCGAAGGTGTCACAAAAGGCTTCCAATATGCCCGTGTGTCGCTTACAAAGCTCTGCTCTGAGACTGACCTCCAGGACATCAGTGACTAGTGCCCCCGCCCCACTTGAATAGAAGGGGAACAGGAAGAGAGGCAGCAGCAGCAGGAAGCCCAGCGCCCCCACACACAGGATGAAGTTGTGCCACACGCCTGCAGGAGGGAGGTAACGCACAGCATGTCAACACAAACGCACAAGAACAGACCTTCTCAGATTCAGGGACAAAACCCGGGCTCTGTCATGTGACATGGGCATCATGCCATGCTGTAGAGCAGGGGTGGCCAATCTTATCCGCAAAGAGCCGCTGTGTATGCGGGTTTTCGCTGAAACTCCCTAATTAGATTACTAATTAGAGGACTGATTGGCTGAAGAGTCCTCACACCTGGGTTTGAACAGCTGACCTAAAGGTTATCCCAAAAACCTGCATACACACCGGCCCTTTCCGGATAAGATTGGCCACCCCTGCTCTAGAGGGTATGCACATACGTCACAGAGGGCGCAG